TATTGTAGAAATAATTATACTCTTAAATATTATATATTATTGATAATCGAATCGTGTAGGTTGTTTTGGTTTATTTGTTGTACTCTGAGCTGGTATGGTTCCGCATTGCTGATGATGAACTCCTGGGAAGCGTTTCAGACAAACGCTATTAGTTTCGTGGTGGAAACTAGCTCGTTGGAATTCCAAACGACTTTTCCAGCGGTCAGCGTTTGTGAATTGAACAACGTTGCTAACATCCAGAAATTAGCCAACAAGTAAAATCGATATAAATTTTCAGATACTGTATTGTCAGATTGTCACATTGATTGAATATAACAGTGGTTTTCAAACTGGGTGCGCGGGCACTGGTGTGCCACGAGTATCCACTATAGGTGTGCCGCGGTTTTTCCATACATTACCGATTGCATTGGATTGCGATATAAGTAAATAAATGCTTTCAATAATAATATCTATAAAAGAACTGATTATTTTTTTGCCGTCATATCTTTGTGAACAATAGGGTTTTCATCACTTACGAATACAAAAAATAAAAACAAGAAAAACTATATTCAGTGAAGGAAGAAAYGCCTGTCAACTATTCCTTCAAGAATTAAAAATATTTGTAACACGCCCATCAGGAGGCACACATGTCTCGCTAAGAGGACGCCCACCCGCATGTGTTTTCTCCGTCTTACAAACGTATAACATGGCAAAATCTGTTTAGAGCGGGACATCATTTCACCCTCAATATTTATAATAGAATTTTCAAAATTTCACAACGCATATTTAAGAACTTTATCTGTCAGATATCATAGCGTCGTTATTTTTTTGATAGCACAAACCAATAATTTTAAGTAGTTTAATGAAAAAATAAAAAATAAATGTATTTTCTTAAGCTTATAACTTTGAATATATTTATGTTATCAAAAAAATAATGACGCTATGACACAGATAAAGTTCTTACCTATGCGTTGTGGAATTTTGGTAATTCTACTACAAATACAAAGGRAGTAAAGTTGTCYCKCGCTAAACAGATTTTGCTATGTTATACGTTTGTAAAACGGAGACAACACATGCGGGTGTGGCGTCCTCTTAAATAGTTAAATGTATATAAAATTATAATTGATTTAAAACAAATTTGTTCATCTAAAAAACGGTTAGTGTGCCGTGAAAACTTTTTGAAGTGTACGGTGTGCCTTCGTGCCGTGTATAATAAAAGTTTGAAAACCACTGGTATATAGCCTATTTATTATTATTATTATATCATATTATGACATAGCTGGTATACAATGTACAATTATTATATACTAATATTTTATAATGAATAGTTGTCAGCAGTACTTGACTTCAAAATGAGAAGTATAAATATTTAGATACGTACTCCGATGCGGCAAATGACACAAAATATATTTGTATCATTGGCTGTAGCTTAATTATATAACTACCTACGCGGCTACGCAGTGGATTAAACAAAAATTATCTAGTCAGTTTTATATACTAACTTTATTTTAATAATTTTAGATAATTATAAAACATTAATGTTTTTTTGGGAAGAGGGATGAACCCCCGAAACAC